CCTCAGTGAGGATTGCTTCCTCACCCAACCCCTGGAGTGAGAGGAAAGCCCCCCACAACTGGAGGAAGGAGGATGCTCCATCAGGAGATGGGCATGGGCTGGCCCAGACCTGAGGAAGAAGGAATCAAGGTGTTCATCAGCTCCCCCTCGTCTGGAGGTGCCCCAGCCAGCCCTGGCTTGGCAGAGCAGGCGTTTGATTGGCATCTTGAGGAGAGGTTTGGGCACATTTGGAGCCCTGAAGCTACTCTGCTCTTGGTCCCTTTGGAGCAGGAGGACTGGGAGGCCAGGGGGACGTGGCTGGGTCCCCTTGGTGAGGACGTGGTGGCCCAGACCAGCTCAGGTGACACCTGCAATAAAGCCCCAGGGGTGCTGGGGGGTCCATCAGGGTGATAGGCCTGTGAGCCCTGGCTCCTTCCAGAGCTGCAAGTCCTCACCCCTGGCTGGAAGGAGCCTTCTGATTCCTTTTCCCTTCCTGAATTTGTGAAACCAAGAGGCTTTGGGAGCCTTTTAGCCGGCGTGGCAGGAGCAGCCCCGGTGGGAGACACCCTCCAGGCCAACACCCACCCCAGGCCAGCCCAGCCCCATCAGGGGCAGCCTGGCAGGAAATATTCACTGCCACCCCCAGGACTGAAGCTCTCTGCCTTGTTTTGGTTGGCTACAAGACTTGTATTTAACAAACAGGGTTTTTTTCTATTTAACAAACAGCTCCTCTCCAGACCTGCTCTCCAGGCTGCTGGAGCACCTTTGGAGGCAAAGTGACAACTCAGCTTTCCTGCCCAAAGGAGAGCTCAGACTGGAGCCCACAGGAGCTGTTTTTAAAATAATTGGATATTTTATTACCAAAAACACCTTGGACAATTACAGAGGGATATGTTTACTGTTACCTTTGCAGAGAGGTGATTTTTGCTGTTTTCCCTTCAGCAGTTGTGCCTTTCCAGGGACCAGGAGAACCACAGAGGACCCAGGAGGATCTCCCAGGGATCAAGAGATCTCTTCAGAAACCAGGATATTCTCCCAGGGTTTAGGACATCCTTACAGGATCCAGGAGATCCTCCCAGGATCCAAGAGATTCTCCCAGGATCCAGGAGATTCTCCTGAGGTCCAGGAGGTTCTCCCAGGGACAAGGAGCCCTGCCCAGTGTCTCCTTTTGCTCTGCTCCTCCTTTCCCACATCCCTCCAGGCAAAGCCCGTCCCTTTCCCCATCTCCCAGCGTCAGGGAAGCCTCTCTGACCCATCTCACCAGGGTGATTTGGGGCTCACCAGCAGCACCTGCCATGGCAGGGCAGAGCTGGCTCTGTGGCTCCGTGTCACCGTGTTCCTGTGACATTTTTAGATGTCTCCTGGCACCCCCTCCTCTTGCCACCGCCCCCTGAGGGGGGTGAGGGGGTGCTGGGGGTCCAGGAGCTCCATCGCTGCCGTCAGCAGCGGGTGGGAGGTCGGATGCTTTCCCTGCAGGGTGAATCACAGCCCTGGGAACTCACTCACAGCTTTCACAGCTCCTAAAACGACACAAGGCCCAGTTCTGTCAACACCTCCAGCTGGAAAGCCGTGGCTCACATGGAGATGGGGCTCGGTGCTCTGCCCTGCCCGGCCCCTCGGCCGGGCAGTGCTTGGTCCAGCTTGGATCCCCTTCCCACAATGGCTGTGGGCATTGCCTCCAGCCCTCCAAGCCCCTCTGGCTTTGCAGGAGGGGGCACGGGGTGCCCAGGAGGGACAGCAGAGAGCTGCCAGTCTGCGGCTGTGCAGGAGGTGTGAAGGTGCTGGCACAGGCTCTGTCCTCTTTGGGGAGCTTGTCCCACCCCTCCCCTGGCTTGGCACATGCAGGTGCCCACCCCGGGTGCCCTGAGCAGGGGCTGGCTGTGGGCTGGGCTTTCCAGAGACCCTGGGACTTGAATTCAGCTGCTCTGGATGAGGCCAGGCCTGGGGACAGCCCTGCCCTGTGGCTTTCATCCCTCCCCACAGCACCACTTCTCGGAGCATCTCCCAGACCCACTGCCAGCAGGACACAGGGGCAAAAAGGGGTGAAAACACGTTTTTTGCTATTTGTATTTTGTTATTTTTTGCTATTTGTGTGGCAAACCCACAGAGGGTTGGAACAGCCATTGGGGCATCCCTGGGGATAAAGGAAACAAGGAGAGGTCACCCTGGACACAGGATCTCCTGGCTCCTGGAACATCCTCCCACCAAGTGCTTTTCCCAGCACCACACACGCAGACGGGGCACGAATTCCAGTTTGGGTGTCTATAAAACCCATTGAGACGAGAGAAATAATTCAGGAGGAAATTATTATTTAATAATAACACCGAGCAAAGGCGTCATCTTGTTAAATCCTTGTGAAACAGCCAAGTGGGTGCAGAGCTCAGCTCTTGTGGTTCTCCGAGAGGCTGGGATCCGTCTGGAGCTGTCAGCGCGGCTGGGGGAGGCGGGTGCAGACACAGGGATGATAATAATAGCTCACAATTAGGGTAGTAAATCAGGAGAGAGCGTCACTCAATTCAGAGAAATTCCCCTGATTTGCTGGAGACGGGAGTTTGGCTCTTTGCACGGAGCTGGTGCTGTTTGGATGACAGATCCCCCTGGTTCTGCAGAACCTTCACAAGGCGTCAGCAGGAGGAGCACGTTGGAAATTCAGCTCCACTTGAATTGTTCCATGCCCAGCCTCAGTTTCTACATATTGCATAAGGATCAGCCTCGGGCACATCATTTTCTGCATTCAACCCACCCTGGCATGGCAGATCTGCCTCCAGAAAAGGCTAAAATGGTGCAGCTGACATTAAAAACCCTCAGCCAGGGTATCCTCCTGCCCAAGGAAACCCACAGTGCAAGGGCTGGTCGTGAAGGATTCCCAGTTTTCCTGTAGGGTTTGACATTAATTTTCAATATTGGGATCTGGCTGGGGCTTGGGAAAATGTAATTTTTGTTTCCAGGTGAAGAGGGGTGTCAGGAGGAGCAGCAGGCTCACATCCCCCAGTGCTGCACCCGCTGTCTGTCTGTGCCACCCCCTGCTCCAGGCACCTCGGGGAGCTAAAATTCTGTGATTTATCCCTACCATGTCTCCACATCCCTCTGGATGACTGGGCACCAGATCTACCGATTTTCTCAGGTGTTCAGGGTGTTCCAGGCCCTCCATCCTGCCTCAGGGTGTCCCTGGAGAGATCGGTGTTGGCTCTGGTAACTCCATGCAAACCTGACTGCTGCACATGGAAATGGAAATATTTCCCACTGCCCCCTCCGGCACTTGTGCCTGGGGTGCCAGGAGCCTTGTGGGACTTGTTGCTTCCTTGGTGCTCCTTGTGGGGCCATGGGGGGATGGCAGAGTGGGCCAAACCTCGTGCCTGAAGGCAGGGATTGATCCATAGGTCTTGTGTGTTGGTATGAGCTTGGCCATCTCCTTCTCCTCATGAAGGGACCTCAGTGAATGCAAAGTGATATAAAATGATTGCTTTTCACATCCTCACCCCAGCCAAGGGCAGCTCCTGCACGTCCAGTCCTGCCCCCTCTCCTTCCCCAGAGCTGCAGGGTGTTTCTCCAGCCCCCAGATCTCCCCGAGCAGACCCAGGCTGTTACCAAGAGCTTGGGATGGGTTGGAGCAGCACGAGAGGCAGCACCGTGTATCCAGGGATGTGATTATTCCCCAGTGGTTGAAATCTAGGTCTCCTGCTTGGGAGGAGGGCTGCGGGGGGAGCGGGGCGAAGACGCTCATATTAATCTTATGAATATTCATGGGGGAGCAGAGCTGCCTTCGGAGGTCGGCTCCGGGGTACGAGTTCGGGGGGCTGTAGGTGAGAGGTGCCGGCAGCGGCGGGAGCGGAGCAGCTGCTTGTGCATTCTCCGCATGCCTGACTGCAGAGCCCAGTGTAAGTTGGTGCCTTTTTCTCTCCCCCCCACCCCATCCCTGCATCCTTCCCCCTGTTCGCGCTGCTCCCCTGCTCGCACGCAGCCTGGCCGGGAGCGGTGCAAAGCGGGGGAGTGGTGCTTCAGTCGCAAACACGACCCCAAATCCTGTGACTCCCGCCCGCAGTGCTCAGTGCGGGCGGAGAGCAAACTGAGGGGCTTTGGGCAAATCCTCACCTCCTCCATCCCCCCCTTCAGCCCCCAAATTTGCATGGATTAACCCTAAAGATGCTTGAGGGCGGGCGGAGGTTGTTTGCCAGGACAAGCAGCGATGGGAAGAGAGTAGGAGAAACTGAGTGTTGGGATGGGTGATGTCAAGTGAGACGATGCCGTAAAACCCTCCCCGCCAAGCACCGAGCATCAGCGCTTGGATTTGGAGTCGGAGGAAGAAGCCCAGAGCCCGTGCCAAATAAAAATCAACATGTTAAATAAAAACAAAGTAAATTTCTGTGCTGTTAAACAAATCTGGGGTGTTTGGGGAAGGGAGAAAGGGGAGGAGAGAGTCTACGGGCAGGAGGAAAACGGCATGTTTATTAAAAAAAAACCCAAAACATTGAAGGTTGGTTGATCTTTGGTGAGATGGAGGTTTGTGGCTGCCAGATCTTTCCTGCAGCAGCAGGAGGATGTTGTTTGTGGTGTTCTGGCGTGATGCTCGGAGGAGGCAGGGAAGGTCAAATCCAGCTGAACTCCTTGGTGAGTCGCTGGGGAGCGAGTGGTGGGGAGAAAATGCAGGAAAAGGATAAAAACTGGGACAAACGCGACCTCCTCTCCTCTGGGCCTGGCAGAAAAGGGTTAAGAGAAGCGGTTGAATGCTGCAAGCCTCGTCAGGGTTGTACTATTTTTTCTAGTGCATAAGGAGAAGGGAGAGGAGGGTTGCACGGAAAAGGGAAATTTCCAAGAAAAGAGGGATCTGCGGCAATATCTGCACCTCGGGGGATGAAGAGAGGAACCAACAGGCATAAATGGCCTGGAGATGGCTGAAATCTTTGCCGAGGAGATTGGGACCGCGGGGATATTTTCCACCTGCCTCCCCTGCCCGGTTCTGTAATCCTGGCTCAAAGTAGACAAGTCGAGTTGGAGCTGAAGAAGGGAGGTTAGAGGGGTTTTTATTTCATTTGGGAGGGGGGAAAAAAAGAGACAAAAAATGAGGGGCTGGTTGGCCCTCTCCGGGCTGAGCATCTCCACGGTGCGAGGCAATGCAGGATGATCCAGGGCAGCGCTCGTCGGGAGCAGGGATGCTGAGGACCCGGCGCCCACCGGGGACATGAGCCTCAACATCCCCAGCAGAAATTTCACCCACCGGAGTCCAGTTCCCGCGGGGGTGGGTCGGCCGGGGGGCTGGCTCTCGGGAGCATGGGGAGGGTGGATGCAGGTCCCGCTGCTCGGAGCACCGCCGGGGGCTGGTGGCCTTGGCGGGGGCGCAGCCGGGGACCGGCGGGGGGCTCGCTCCGGTGGCTGAACCTCCTGAGCCACCGGGGGACGCGACGCAATGGCCGCGGCTGCTGTGCCCGGTGGGTGCCACCGACTCGGGGACCTTCGGTGGCTTTGCAGAGCCTCGGCTGCCGGGGGGGCTGCGTCGCTGCCCCCCCGCTCGTCCGGCTGGCACGGGCTCGGCGGGCCCCGCCGGGCTGAGCGGGGCGCAGGGACGCGGCGCTCGGGTTTTTTCCGCCCTCGCCTCGCTGGTGTTGCAGTGCGGGCTGGGCGGGCGGCTGGCGGCCGGGGAGCGCGGTGCCCCGAGCAGCCGCGGCTTTGCGGATGCTCCTTGCGAGCCCCCGCAGCTTGCTACCTTCTCGGTGTTTTTTCCAGGCGATGCCACACCTCCCGAGGACACTGGGGACATCGGGTTTTGCTGAGCTTAGCAGCTTTTCGCCGTCTTACCGAAGGCATCAGACAGACGCTCATCTGCCCTGAAGTGCAGATCTGCAACAGCTCCCGGGAAGACTCTGTCTCTCTGTCTCTCTGTCTCTCTTTCTCTCTCTCTCCAGTCCAAACCATTACAAGACCTGACTTCCACCATCTGGGAATCTAACCCCTCTTATGCCCCTTCTCCTCTTTCTGCGATGACTCACCATTATTTTTAACTTTGAAGAGAGAGGAAATTATGGGGATCTTGGAAGCCTGTATTTCTCTCTAGGATTTCCCCAGGGTCAGATAATCGGTGTTACTAAGAGACACTAAGATTTGGCTTCTCCAGGTAATGTGATTTGTTTTCTGTGTGCCATGGTGGTTTGCAGAGAATGACAGGAGCCGGGACAGCAGCGCTCGAGGAGGGGGACTGCGGTGGTCCGCGGGGCAGCTGCAGCCGCCGGCTCCACATTCCGGCAGCCGCAGAGCTCGGCTGCAGGCAGGGAGGGCAGCATGTCACCAGGGAAAAAGGATTGGGAAGGTGTTAAACTTAAAAGCGGAGCTGGAGCTCTCCTGGAGGGTAGATTGCCTGAGATCGCACGGTTAAATATTAATTAACCCTTAGCTGCATGCCTGGAAATGAGCTGAGCCCGGCACCCCGCGGGGTCCTCTCTCCACTTCAGGGCTGGATGGGGTTATTTTTCTTCCTTCCTTTCTCTTCCCTTCCCCCTCTTTATTTTTTTTAACCGGAATTTTTATTTTTAGCCAAAAATAAAGCCCTGGTTTACCAATGCCAGTTTTTCCACGCTGGTTTTGAACAGGTGATGGTTCCTCAGGTGTTTCCTCTGTTCCACCTAACGGGTTTAGATGGGAGTTGTTGAACTCTGTCCCAAGGAAGGCAAATTAACCCCTCCAGGAAGGGGATAGACGTGCTAGAGAAGGGATCTGCTCTCCTCCCACCAACTTTATTCCATCTCTCTCTTTCTCAGCAGGGGCGATTTTCTTTCTTCTTCTTCTTTTTTTTTTTTTTTTTCTCTATTTTTATCTCATCCCTTCGCCTTTTCATGAGACTCTTCCAAACCTACGTACCTGTCCTTCTGCAGGATAGTAGCCCTGCCCTGAACCCGATCCCACCACCGGGCGCTGGGAAGAGTTTAGCATAAGGATTTCTTTTAAAGCCCAATAATGACAGTTGCCACCGGAGATCCTGCAGATGAAGCTGCAGCTCTTCCCGGTCACCCGCAGGACACGTACAACCCTGAGACCGACCATGAGTGCTGTGAGAGGGTGGTCATTAACATCTCGGGGCTGCGCTTCGAGACGCAGCTCAAGACACTCGCCCAGTTTCCAGAGACCTTGCTAGGGGATCCTAAAAAGAGGATGAGATATTTCGACCCTCTCCGGAACGAGTATTTCTTTGACCGGAACAGGCCCAGCTTCGATGCCATTTTGTACTATTACCAGTCCGGGGGCAGGTTGCGGCGGCCGGTGAACGTGCCCTTGGACATCTTCTCCGAAGAGATCCGCTTCTATGAACTGGGGGAAGAGGCCATGGAGATGTTTCGGGAGGATGAAGGCTACATCAAGGAAGAGGAGAGGCCGCTGCCTGAGAACGAGTTTCAGAGACAAGTGTGGTTGCTCTTCGAGTACCCCGAGAGCTCAGGCCCTGCCAGGATTATAGCTATTGTCTCTGTCATGGTGATTTTAATCTCCATCGTCAGCTTTTGCCTGGAAACGTTGCCCATTTTTCGGGATGAGAACGAAGACATGCACGGCAGCGGGCTGAGCCATCCCCCCTACTCCAACAGCAGCATGGGGTACCAGCAGTCCACTTCTTTCACAGACCCCTTCTTCATCGTGGAGACACTTTGCATCATCTGGTTCTCCTTCGAGTTCTTGGTGAGGTTTTTCGCCTGCCCCAGCAAGGCTGGTTTTTTTACCAACATCATGAACATTATAGACATTGTAGCCATCATTCCCTATTTCATCACCTTAGGGACGGAGCTGGCCGAGAAGCCAGAGGATGGCCAGCAGGGCCAGCAAGCCATGTCCTTGGCCATCCTCAGAGTCATCCGCTTGGTGCGGGTCTTCAGGATCTTCAAGCTCTCCCGGCACTCCAAGGGGCTGCAGATCCTGGGACAGACTCTCAAGGCCAGCATGCGGGAGCTGGGCCTCTTGATATTTTTCCTCTTCATCGGCGTCATCCTCTTCTCCAGCGCCGTCTACTTTGCCGAGGCCGACGAGAGCGAGTCCCAGTTCCCGAGCATCCCCGATGCCTTCTGGTGGGCTGTGGTTTCCATGACGACTGTTGGCTACGGAGACATGGTCCCCACCACCATCGGGGGGAAAATAGTGGGTTCCTTGTGTGCCATCGCTGGCGTATTAACGATTGCCTTACCAGTGCCCGTCATAGTGTCTAACTTCAATTACTTCTACCACCGGGAGACCGAGGGAGAGGAGCAGGCTCAATATTTGCAAGTAACCAGCTGCCCAAAGATCCCCTCTTCCCCTGACCTAAAGAAAAGCAGAAGTGCCTCTACTATTAGTAAGTCTGATTATATGGAGATCCAGGAAGGTGTAAACAATAGCAATGAGGATTTTAGGGAGGAGAACTTGAAGACAGCCAATTGCACCCTAGCTAACACAAACTATGTGAATATCACCAAAATGCTAACCGATGTCTAGTCGCTAAAATCTAGTCCCGTATTTAAAGCTGAAGTGGAACAATTGCAGATATTGAGTGCTGCTCTGCATTGTAGTTAATACAGTATTTTCTACGGTGTATATTTGGTTCTGCATGGGAAGCAATAGCTGTGTAAGTGACTTTTAACCTTTGATTTCTGCACCGAATAAGCGTCCGTGCAAAAAAAACCAACAAATCCAAACCATTTTGTTGCACTTCTCCCATCCCAGGCTCGTGGGTTTCCAAAGATACGGAGGGGACGGGCACTTCCAGCAGCGGGATGGGGATGGAAGGGGCAAACCCTGGTCCCTGCCCTGGGTGACAGCCAGCTCCCGGGCACAGGGAACAGCTGGCAAAGGTCAGGCAGGACCTCCTGGAGGGCGGCTGCAGGCGTGGGGCCGGGCTGCTGGAGGGCTCCGTGCCTGCCCCGGGGAAGCCGAGCGCGAACGCGGCGCCCGGCTCGTGTTTCATAACTGAAAATGCTGCATGCTGCAACAGTTTCAGCCACTGCAGTGTGCCAGTGTGAGGCCCAGGGGAGGGATAATTAGTGTGACGGCACATTATTTATTAAGTCTTAAATTTTCTATGCCAGGCATCGGGAGGGACGAGTAAATAAATCAAGAGCTTGGAATTTATTTATTTATTTAGGTGACACTTCCATCATCAATATTTCCAGGATCACCAAAGACACCTCCACTGACACATTGAAAATGAGTTGGAAAAAGCATCTTTTTTTATATCTATATATAAAACTGGAGCAACTATGCTGTGGCCTATAATATATTTATACTGCAGTGAAATTTAACCAGTAATACAGTACAGCTGCATGGATATTCGTTGCATGAATCTGAATATTTAATACACACACAAATATATATTTTCTTAGTAGACTATACAGTATTCATGTTTATAGTGTTTATAGATTCTCCGGTGGCTCAAAGGAGATTCATGGGAATTCAAAAATCTCCATTATAGTTAAAAACCGGATGGGGAAGGCGTGTGCTGACAACAGTTGGATAGATAACAGTGCAAAGCCTGAGAGATAACGAGGCAAAGCCTGAGTGTCCGAGCATCCAGACACGAGAGCTGACGAATGCAAGCCAGGGAAGGTGAGCTGAAAGTTAAACACCTGCGCTCATTATGGGGCGAGTAATTAGTCATTAATCGTGGTGTCAGGAGCAGAAACCACGGCGGATCGGAGAGGGCGCGAGGAGCAGGTGGAATAGCAGGTTCCAGCCCTCCTGACTTGTTTGTTCAGCAGTTTTCAGCCGTTCCCGTAGAATTCCTGTGTGTGTGTGTGTATAGATATTTGGAGAGCGACTGCAGGGCCGAATCCTCAGCAAACAGAGCTCCTGGTGTGTCAAGGGTGTCCCAGCTCAGGGCTGCTGGGATGGTGGGACATGGGCTGGAGCAGGGTGGCCTGGAGCCCGTGGGGTCACCAGGGCAAGGTGTGTTTTGGGCTTGAAAGCTCCTTTTCAACCCCCTCAGGGCTGGGTTTATTCCTTTGTGATGGAGTGGGCCGGTGCTGAGGTGGCCTGGATCTGAGCTGGCACCTCTGAGCCTTTGCTTTGCCTTCTTCAGGGTGTTAAGAGCAGTGGGTCAAGGTGCAGAGAGCCTGAGGTTCTCTCTCTTCTTCATCCCTGGTTGTTTGGGGATGGGAGAGAGCTGTTGGTCCGTGGGGAATCTCACCTGCTTTCCCCATCCCTGTGTGGGTTTGTTTGTGTTTTCCCCATCGCTGACAATCCTCAGGGAGAGGTGCCTTGTTCCTCTTCCAGGCCAGGGGAGATGGAGGAAAATCTCTGCCAAGGTCACGGCTGAGCAAAGCCTCCCTGAGCAGTGGAGCAGGGTTCAGTCAGGGTGAATTTGGGCTGAACTGGGGCGTGATCAGCCCTGAAACATTGCATGAAGGATGAGCACAAGGAGCCTGGGGAGGGCTCAGCCAGACCCTTCCTTCCTCAGAGAGGAAACCCCTGCTCCTGACAATAATCCAACTGGTGCTAAAGTATCTACAGCAATGGCTCCAAATGCCACTCCAGAGCAGCATCCATCTTGTGCTGATGGGGCTCCACTTGGCCAGGTGGAATCACTCCTCAGTTTATTTGATTGATTGATTGATTGATTGATTGATTGAGGTTTGGCTGTAATTAATTCCAAGTGTCCATGGAGCTCCTGTGAAACCCTTTTACAAAATGTTATCGTTTATCATACTCAATTTGAAAGGATTCCCTGTCTTTATCAGGTGTTAATGTCAGAGAATCACAGAACCAACTGGGTTGTAAGAGATCTCTGAGATCATTCCATCAAGCTTTGGCCCAAACACCACCTTGCCAACCAGAGCAGCATCCATCTTGTGCTGATGGGGCTCCACTTGGCCAGGTGGAATCACTCCTCAGTTTATTTGATTGATTGATTGATTGAATTTTGGCTATAATGAATTCCAAGTGTCCATGATTGTGCATGGCAGTCCCTGCTCCTGCGTGGGCAGAGGACCAGCAGCATCCCAGTTCTGATCCCTGTTCAGGGGTGCTCAGGTCCCCAGCCTGTCTTTAACTGGATCTCGTTATACTGGGAGTCCTGCACTCCACTTTGCTGAGGCAGCCTGGGAATGGGAGACCCTGAGGCCTCTTCATGCACACACACAAAAAAGCCAACACAACCAAAAGCAATAAATCCTGAGTTCTGAAGCTCATCCTGTTGGATGGGACAGGGCTGGTGAGAGTCCCTGGCTCGGGCACCATTCCCAGGGTGCTCAGCCACCTTCCATGGACCCGGCTCCTGGTGGCTCTGTGGGGACAGGGGCTGGCACAGGGGAGCTGCCTGCTGTGCTGGGATCCTCTGGGTGCCCTTAGCACCATTCCTGGTCAGGGCTGAGGTGTTTTGCTGGTGGTTTTGCTGCAGGTTCTTTGGAGGATGCTGGCACTTGGTGGGACTTTGAGAAGTGTCTGGTTGTTGAACACCCACCGTGGGCTTGGGATGGTTTGGAGCAGTGCTGGCCAAAGCTTTGGGTGTGTCTTGTGGTGGTTTGGTGAGGAGGAAGGTGAGGTTTTCCTTTGGTCATGTGGGATTTTGGGCTCCTGGGGGCTTTCCAGGGCCAGGCAGGAGAGGAGAGCGGATCTGTGAGCAGGATCCAAACATCCAAACCCAATCTCCAGCCTGGGGAGTCCTGCCTGCCTTGGGAAGCTCCACAGCCACCCAGCAGGGCCAAATGGGGATGAAGAGCAAGAGGCCACGCTGCTGTTGTCAGTGACGTGAGGTGATGAGTGTCCCCACGGCAGGGCCAGCACAGCCAGTCCCTTCCTTGGGACAGACCCGGCACCTCCTGCCCCGACCCTGGCAGATGTTCCTGGGGAAATGAGCCCTGGTGGGAGAGCTCTGGGCTGCCCTTGTGTGGGGCACAGGGAAAACACCCAGGCTCAGTGCTCAGCTGCTGGGCTCAGGGTGGGTGAAGGCCATGGCTCAGAGGGATCCGTGGCTGCACACAGCAGAGGGGTCCAGACTTCTGCCTCGCACAGAAATGGTTCCCCTACAGCTTTTAATGGGATTTGTGCCTGCAGGTCGGAGCTCTAGTGCTATTTCTAGCTTTGCTTCTGACTCACTGATGTGATCTTGAACCAGTTTTTCAGGAGGAGACTGTGATATTTTTTCTCTTTTTTTAAAAATATTTTTTTTCTTAAGGAATGTGGTTTGAGAGAGTCTGGGCCTGTTTCTGTGGAGATGCTGAGCATCCCCATCTCCTCCTGACTCTGAAAGGTGCAAAAATGAGCTGCAAAGTGGCTCAGACTGAGGATGCTAAATTAGGGATTGGGAAAGGGGATGGTCCCATAACTGTGTTAGAGTTTATCAGGCCCCTAAACAGAGGTAGTCTGGGTCCTTTCCTCCTCCTGAGGAGCCATTTCCCTCCCTCCAGGCCTGGAATGGAAGCCTGGAGCTCTCTGGTCTGTGGAGGTGCTCCTGCCTTGGCACCCGGAGGAGGCAGCGCCTCTATTTTAGTTTGAGCCACTGTGCCACGGTTCTGGAGAGATGGAAAGCTGTGATTGCAGAGCGGGCTGTCTTCTAACACCCAACCTCGTGCCCAAGCCTGCAGGCAGCCCATCAGCCCTTTCAAATCTTCCAGAATATCTGCTGGGGGCAATGGGGTGAGGCTCGTGTACCAGCTGGATGCTACCAAGTGATTAGGAAAAAATGATCTCTCTGGAGCACGATGTTTTATTGGGAAAATTAATCCCTGCAGTGACTGTGTCAAAGTCCTACAGATCTGAATGCTGAGCTATAAGAAGAAAAGGATCTCTGGACTGGCATTATGAGAGTGTGGCACGTGGGTGTATAAATATGGGCATATTTGTGCATAAATACACAGAAGGAGAGAAAAAGACAGAGGAGGAGGAGGTATTTCAGGAAGGACCTTGCTTTGTTATTAGATAATTCCTGGGTCAGCCCTTGAAACTGCTGCCAAAGCCTTGTAGCTTTTCCAGAGCTTGCAATATCCTTGGGGATGGATCCAAGGGAAGGAGATCTGGATCTTGCCTTGGGAGTGGAAGCATCCTGAGGGGCTGGTGGCAGCCAGCTCCTCACACCCCTCTGCACACAGCAGCTTTGCAGTGTCTCTGTTCCCAGCCCCAAGTCCCAGCTGTGCCAGGCACAACCATCTCTGTGACTGGGCCGGGAACGCCCAGCAGGGTTGAAGGGATTTGGTTGAGATGCAGGTGCTGTGCTGCACCGAGTGGCCTTTGGGGTTATTCTTTGTAATGGTTGGGGTTTAAGTCTCCTAAACTCTGGTGACTTTTGGTCCCAGTGTGGTGGCTGCTACTCTGGAGCCAGGGTGGTGTTATCACAGAATCCTGGAATTATCACAGAATCCTGGAGTTATCACAGAATCCTGGAATGGTTTGGGTTGGAGGGACCTCAAAGCTCACCTTGTTCCACCCCCTGCCATGGACAGGCACACTTTCCACTAGAGCAGGCTGCTCCAAGCCCTCTCCAGCCTGGCCTTGGAACCTTTTCTCAAGACCTTTCCCCTGAGACCTCATCCCGAGGTCTACATCCTTGGGGGTGGTTGTCCATGGGCGTTATCCATGGTGGGTCACTCATGGGAGCTGCTCAGTCTGCTGCAGGGGTGAAGTGGGCCGAGGAAAGAAGGAGTCAGCCCCAAACCATTTTGGTTTGCACCCAAATGAAGGCTGTGGCTCTTTCCTCAGCCCCCTGGCAGCATTTGACCTTCTGCACGTGGCACATCCCTTGGTCTCTCCTGTTGGGGACCAGCTGCTGCCCCTGCCAGGAGCCCCAAGGGCGGACAAGGGTTGCCCCCAAGCACTGGCCACTGCTCTGCCCCTCCCCAGCCCTGTCAGCACCCCTGGCCTCGGTGTCCCCGTGATGTTTCTGTATTTGGCTGCCCAAAATTCACCCCCTGCTCAGAAATGGGTGCTCCATCCTGCTGCCATCACGAGGAGAGGGCCCAGCCCAGGGGTGAAGCAGCCTGGGAGCACAGCACTGATTTACACCCGGGGACAGGATCCCCCAGCCCAGTTATGCATGATGAGAGATAAATCCCTAATTCATGTTTTTCCTCCAGAGAGGGGATGGTTTGGCTTCTAGGAGCTGCTGGACATTGTGTAACCACGCCAGGTCCACGCACATGGACACACCACATCCTCTCCCCAGCCCTGCCTGGCTGTCCTGAGCTTGGGGTTGGTCTTCTGGGGTTTGTTTCTTTGATTATTAT